CCCCCAGCCCCCTGTCCCATCCCCGGACCCCCAGTCCCTCCTAGTCCTCCCAGTCCTCCCAGTCCCCCGCGCCCCTCCCGTCGGGTGCCGGGGGCACGGGCGATTCCCGCTGTGCCGGGTCCCACCGGAATTCCCGGCTGGGCCGGGGCAGCGGGACGGGCCGGGGGGGCCGGGGGGCAGGGAGAGGCGCGGCCGCCCCCGCGGGCTCGTGCCCGGGCTCCCGGTGCCCCCGTACCTGCGGGGCCGGGTCGGGGGGGCGGCAGCGGCCCCGGCGCAGCTCCATGTCCAGCGCCGACCCCCGCGCCACGGTGGCGCGGCTGGGCTGGTCCCGCCGGAACATGGGCGGGGGGCCGGGGGCGGCCCGGGGGGCCCCGGAGGGGTCCCGGTGCTCCGCGGGGTCCTGGCGGTCTCGGGGGTCTCTGTGCTCTGCAGGGTCCGGGGTGCTGCGGGGAGTCCTGGAGTCTGGAGGCTTCCGGTGGTCCGGGGGAGGGGGTCCCGCTCTCCGAGGGGTCCCGGGGCCTGAGTAGTGCGGGAGGTTTCGGGGGTCACGGTGCTCCGGGGGTCCCAGATGGTCCCAGACCTCCGGAGCCTTCCGGGAGTTCCCGGCGGTCCAGGGGGTCCCGGGAGGTCGCGGTGCTCCGGGGGGAGCCAAGGGGGGTCCTGGGGGCCGGAGCCTTCAGGGAGTTCCGCGGAGCACGAAGGACAGGTGGGACACGCCGGGATGCACCGAGACACACCCGGGGACACCGGGAGACCCAGGGGCCGTCACTCTCCGCCCGCACGGCCCCGCGTGGCCCCGGGATCCCGCAGGGGCGGGGGCGGCGATCGGTGCCGGCGGCTCCTGGCACCGGCGGGACAATGGCCCGCGGCAGCCACAGCTGTGGGAACGGGGAGGAGAGGGGGGGACAGGCTGTGACATCTGTGTGTGTGTGACACTTCTGTGTGTGTGTGACACTTCTGTGTGTGTGTGACACTTCTGTGTGTGTGTGTGACACTTCTGTGTGTGTGCACGTGTGTTGTCAACACGTGAGAGTGCACAGGGCCCGAACAGACACACACATACACACAGAAGTGTCACACACACACACACAGATGTCACACACACACAAAAGTGTCACACAGAGATGTCACACGCACACACACAGAGGTCTCTCTCTCTCTCAAACACACACACACACACACACACACACACACACAGGTGTACCCCCACGCATGTGAAATGTGCACTTGTGTGGCCACAGCTCACACGGGACAGTGTCTGTGAGTGCACACAGGTGCACAGCACAGGTGTGTGCACACATCTGTGCCCTGTTCACACCCCCTGTACATTCACACCTGTGCACTCCCACCTGTGCACTCACTCATACCTGTGTGCTCACTCACACCCATGCACTCACACACACCTGTACACAGACACCTGTGCACTCACACCTGTGCTCACTCACCTGTGCACTCACACCTGTGCACTCACAACTGTGCTCACTCACCTGTGCACTCACTCACACCTGTGCACTCACTCACACCTGTGCACTCACTCACACCTGTGCTCACTCCCACCCGTGCACTCACACCTGTGTGCTCACACACCCCTGTACATTCACACCTGTACACTCCCACCTGTGCACTCACTCCCACCCGTGCACTCACACCTGCCCTGTGCTCCCACACGTGCGCGGCCCGGGCGGCCCAAGCCGCGGTTTCCCCCGGCCCGGCCGTCGGTGCCCGGTTCAAAGATGGCGGGGGCAGCGTCCCCCCGCTCGGCGGCAGCGGGCGGGCGGGCGGGCGGAAGCGGGTCCGCCGCCAATCGTGTCCGCCGCCCCTCGTGTCCCCCGCGCTCGGATGCGCAGGGCCTGGCGCGGCGCGATGGAGGCCGGGCACGGTGAGAGCGGGGGGGCTCGGGGGGCCCGGGGGACACCGAGGGGCTGCGGGGCCGCTCCCGGCGGGACAGGGCCCGCCGGGCCCCGCGCTGATCCCGTGTTCGCCCCCAGGGCAGGAGGCCGAGGCGGGCGGCCATGGCGGCCACAAGAAGAAGCATAAGAAGCACAAGAAGAAGCACAAGAAGCGGCACCACCACGAGGCGGGGCCGCCCCCGGGCCCCGAACCCCCCCGGCAGCCTCGGCTGCGGCTCCGCATCAAATTAGGGGGGCAGATCCTGGGCACCAAGAGGTGGGGGCGAGCTGGGGGGCTCGGGGGGTTCAGGGGCAGGTCCTGGTCACCAAGAGGTGGAGGGAGGAGGGAAGGCTGGGCCGGTCTGGGGGGCGTGTCCCGCCCTCCCCGGCCCCCCCAGCCTCCTCTCTCGCCCTGCAGTGTCCCCACGTTCACGGTGGTCCCCGAGGGGCCGCGCTCCCCGTCCCCGCTGCTGGGGGCAGACGAGGAGGAGCCCAGCGAGGGGGTCCCCATCGAGCAGTACCGGGCCTGGCTGGGTGAGCACGGGGGCTCCCGGGGCCTGGGGGGGCTCACGGGGGATGGGCTGGGGAGGGAGGGGCAGCCCCTGGGGGGGCTGAGGTGGGGGGGGATGCTCTGGACCCCTGTCGTGGTTCAGGGACAGAGTGAGAGTGACCGTGGCACAGGGTGACCCCTACCCATGTGACTGTCCCCCCCCCCCCCGGCTCCCCTAGATGAGGACAGCAACCTGGCCCCCTCCCCTCTGCCTGAGCTGGACCCAGAGAGCTGCTTCTCCCACCGCGAGGAGGGGGAGGAGGAGGAGGAAGAGGAGGAGGAGGAGGAGCGGCGCTGGCTTGCGGCCCTCGAGCGAGGCGAGCTGGACGACAACGGGGACATCAAGAGGGAGGTGGACGAGTCCCTGCTGACAGCCCGGCAGGTGTGGGGGGGCTGGGGCAGGGCTGGGGTGCTCTGGGTTGTTTTGGAGGCCTGGAACTATTGGGGGGCTGGGCTAGAGGTGGGGCTGTTGTGAAGCTGCTGGGACAGGAGTGAGGGGAACTGGGAGGAGCAGGGAGCCTTCGGGATGGAGCTGAGAGGGGTAGGGGAGCTGTGCAGCCCCTGAGGGGTGCTAGGGCTGGGCTGAAGGGGGCTGGGGCGGCCATAGAGCTGCTGGGACAGGGCTGAGGGGGGTCCAGGGAGGGCATGGAGTCACTGAGGAGGGACTGGGGGGGCCGTGATGGCCCCAGGGACGGGACTGGGGTGGCTGCAGGGACCCCAGAACCGGTATGGGCCTGGGCTGGAGCCCTCGGGGAGCTGCGGGGGGGTCCTCTCGAGGGCCCCGCCTGCATCCCGTGCCCCCCTTGACGCCCCCGTGTCCCCCAGCGCGCCCTCCTGCACAAGCAGCAGAGCCAGCCCCTGCTGCAGCTGCCCATGGGCGCCAAGGCCAAGGAGGTGACGGAGGAGATGCGGGAGAAGCGGGAGGAGCGGGCGCGGCGCCGGCGGCTGCAGGCGGCCCGCAAGGCCGAGGAGAGCAAGAACCAGACCATCGAGCGCCTCACACGCACCCACAAGGCCAAGGTGAGGGCCCTGCGCGAGCGCCGCGCCCGCCCCGCGCCCTGCCCCGTCGTGCACTACCACAGCTCCGCCCAGGGCGTCACCCTGTCCTTCCCCCCGGGGCTGCCCCTGCCCCTGCCCCCCGCCACGGCCCCCCCGGTGCCCACCCCCCAGCTCTGCGCCGTGCCCGGCTGCACCAACGCCCGGCGCTACCGCTGCGCCCGCACTGGGCGGCCCCTCTGCAGCCTGGGCTGCTACCAGCGCAACCTGCAGCTGCTGCAGAGCCCGGGCTGAGCCCTGCCGTGGCTGCAGGGGCCCCGAGCCTGCCCCTGTACGGCAGACGGCGGCAGGGGGGCCGTGGATCCTGCCCGGGGGCACCCGGGAGCGGGATGGCCCACCCGCTGCAGCCTGGGCGGTACCACCACGGCCTGCAGCTGCTGCAGCCCTCGGGTCACCCCCGGGGGACTGTGCACCCACCCCATGGACACAGAGGGCCAGAAGCGGGGAAAACACCCTCTCAGCACAGACACAGGCGGGTTCCAGGGAGCTCTGGATTCTCCACCTGGAGACAGAAGGCCAGAAGAGGAGGCTCCAGGCCCTGCGCCGCAGACTTGGTGGACTGTGGGGTGTTCCATCCCCTCCCCATGGACACAGAGGGGCAGAACGGGGGGCTGAGGACCTTGTGCCTTGGATATGGGGGACTCCGGATGGTCCACGTGGACACAGCAGACTGGAACAGGGACCTCCTGTCCCCTGCATGGACTCGGAGGGCTGGGGACCAAGGGCGGGCCTGGAGGTGGGAGAGGGTCCCTGCGCCCGGCGTGTCCCGGTGCTGCGAGCTGATTAAAGGCTGCTGGCGAAGGAACCGTGTGTGGGTGTGCTGGGATGGGGCACAGCCGGCTCCCCCCGCGGCTCTGGGGGACGGCCCGGGAGGTGGATGGGGACGGTCCGGCCCGGGAGGTGGATGGGGACGGTCCGGCCCGGGTGGGCGGGGCTCCGGGGAGCGCCCGCCCTCCGCCAGCGGCCATTGGCTGGGGCTCTGCCCGGCGGAGAGTGACGGCGTTAATTGGCTGGCTGCTCCGCCTATCACAGGGCCGGAGCCGTGCCTGCGAGCGCATTGGCTGGGTTGTGGAGAGTGCCCGCCTCTGGGCGGGCCGGGAGTGGCTGCGGGGCTGCCATTGGTCGGTGTCGCCGTCAGTCAGGTCAGGGAGGTGGGGCCGTGCGTCCGATTGGCGGCGGGGGCCGCCATTCTGGACAAGGGCGGGGCCCGGCCCCTTTGTCTCTGTTGTTGGGCGTGAGGCGCGGGCAGACGGTGCGCGATTGGCCGGGACCGGGCGGCGGCGGCCGCGCCCATTGGCTGTGGGCGGCGGAGCGGGCGCGGATTGGGCGGCGGCGGCGGGGTGGGCGGGACTTCGGGCCGGTGCGATGGCGGCGGCGGCGGCCCCGGCCCGGGCGGCGGCGGCCGCAGGGGCCGCGATGGCGGCGGCGGCGGCGGCGGTGGGGCGGCGGCGGCTGCTGCGGGCGGCGGGGGCCGCGGCCGGGCGGGCGCGGGGCCGCGGCGGGCTGTAGGCGGCGGCGCCATGGAGCGGCCCGGCAGCGCCGAGGGGGCCTGGGCCGCGCTTCTGGGCCGGCAGCACCCGCAGGTACCGGGCGGGCCGGGGCGGGGGGGCCGCGCGCGGGGCCGCGGTGACGGTGCGGCCGTGCCCGCAGGCCCGGGAGTTCTGCCCGGGGGTGAACAACCGGCCCTACGTGTGCGAGACCGGGCACTGCTGCGGGGAGAGCGGCTGCTGCACCTACTACTACGAGCTGTGGTGTGAGTGCGGGCACCGCGGACCGGGGGAGCGGGGCTGCCTCGGGGGGGACCGGGTAGTCCGGGAGTGTTGGGAGATCAAGGGATCCGGGCAGGTCCCGCGGCTCTGGGGGGCCGAGCGGCAGCGAAGCTTCCAGGGGGGTCGGGGGGTCCCGAGCGAGCTGTGGGTCGAGGTGGGCCGGGAGCTCCGAAGGGTCTGGGGGAGATCAGAGGCCCCGTGGCGATATGGGGACTCTGGCGCCCGGGGGCTGCAGTCCGACGCTGAGAGAGCGGGTCTGTGTGTGAGGGTGATCCCCGCTCTGCCCCCCCACCCCGCAGGGTTCTGGCTGCTCTGGACCATCCTGATCCTGCTGAGCTGCTGCTGCGCGTTCCGGCACCGCCGGGCCAAGCTCCGCCTGCAGCAGCAGCAGCGGCAGCGCGAGATCAACCTCATCGCCTACCACGGTGCCTGCCACTACCCCCCCTCCGCGGGGGACCTCCGTGAGTGGGCACAGCCACCCCCCGCGCCCCCGGCCCTGCCCGTATCCCCATCCCCGGGGACCTCTGTGAGTGGGCACAGGGATCTCCCGCGCCCCCGGCCCTGCCAGTAACCCCCCTCCATGGGGAGTCTGACTCCGGGCACCCTGGACCTTCCTGTGCCCCCTCAGCACCTGCATCCCCCCTAAACCCGCATCCCCCTCCCTTGCCCCTCCCCATACCCCTTTCCCCCTGGTTTTTCCCCCAGGTCCTCCATGTCCCCCTCCCCAGCCCTGCCCCAAGCCCTGGGCTGGGCTGATCCTTCCAGCCCTGCATGCCCCAGCTCTGCCCCCTTTGCTCCCGTGTCCTCTGGCATTCCCTGTATTCCCCGCGGGTGCTCCTCTGACCCCGCTGTTGCCCACAGGGCTCTTGGCCTCCTTCAAGCTCCCTGCGTACGAGGAGGTGGCCCAGCGCCCCGGGACGCCGCCGCCGCCCTACAGCCCCGGGAGTCCCTCGCTGTCCCCCGGCTCCTGCGGGGGCTGCAGCTCCTGCTCCTGCGGCTGCTCCTGCGCCTCCTCCCCCAGCAGCTCCTCGCTGTCGGCGCCGGGCACCGACGAAACGGACCCGGAGCCGGGGCCGGGCCAGGGGGGCGGCACCACCGGCGGCTCCAGCAGCACCGGCACCGGTGCCAGCTGGGAGCTGCCCCCACCCGAGGAGCCACCGGCCCGCGGGGGCCCCTCCAAACATGGCCCCCCGGACTTCCCCGAGGCCGAGGGTGGCCCCTGTTCCTACACCGAGGGGGGTGAGGAGGGGGTGGGCGGCGCGGCCCGGGTGGAGGACGGCCCTGGGCGGCACCGGCGGCTCACGGGGGACTCGGGAATCGAGGTGGGGCGGGGCCTGGAGGAGGAAGAGGGCGAGGCCGAGGGCTGCGGGGGGCCGGGCGGTGGGGGGAGCTTGGCTAATCTGCGCTGCCTGTCTGAGGCCCCCCGGGACCCCCTGCTGCAGTCTGGACTCACCACGGAGCCTCCAGGGGTCCCGCACCCCGACTGACCCCCACGGCGACCCCACTCATGGCGTGGCCCTGCCAGAGCCCCCTCCCCTCCAAACTGCTTCTGGAGCCCTCCCACCCCGGTGCTGCTGCTTGGGGAGCCCCCATCGCTGGGGAGGGCCCAGGCTGTGGGAGTGGGTGGTCCTGGCGCATTCTCTCACCATTAAAGAGATGTGGAAGTACCGGAGCACTGGTGTGATGGGGGCACTGGGCTGGGTGGGGACCCCCGACTTCTCAAGGAGGGGACAGATGCCCCCCGTGGCTTGGGGACATCGGGCTGAGCTGGGGCAGACCCCTGGCAGCACTGGGGACACGATAACACCCTGACCTGGACGGGAAGAGGCCACAGTTGTGGAGGTTTATTGAGGGGGAGATGGGGGGGCTCCAGCGCAGCCCCCCAGCACCGCCTCTGGCCCTGAGCGTGCGGGGTGGGGGACGGGGACCCCCCATCAATAGTCCTCGGCCATGGCGAGCACCACGAGCGCAGACCAGCCTGCGAAGGGGTGGCAGCCCTGCCCCGCCCCGTCACTGTCCCGGTAGTGCTCCCACAGGAACCCGGTGGCCTCATGCTGCCGGAACACGTTGGTGACCAGGTTGTGGTGCAGCTCCCGGTACAGCCGTGCCGCCTGCTCGCGGTGCGGCCCCGCCGTCCGTGCGTACCCGTACAGCGCCCGCAGCGCCAGGAAGTTCATGTTGACCCAGACGGAGCCGCGCCAGTACGGGGGGTCGTGCTCGGTGTTGCGCTGCAGGTACCAGGGGCTGTCGCGGGCCAGCGAGCGCAGCCCGAAAGGCGTCCAGAGCTGCGCCTCGCTGCGCATGGCGCCCATCAGCGCGGGCAGGCGCGGGGAGTCCGTGTGCAGCAGCTGCAGCAGCAGCGGGAACAGGCTCACGTAGCCCAGCGCGCCCACGAAGCGCAGCCGTGGGGCCTCCCGCACCTCCCGGAGCAGCTGAGGGGCCGGCGGGGCGCGGCCGGGCACGGGGGCCGGGCGGTGCCAGCGCAGCGCCACGGCCGTGCTGTGGTTGCCGAAGTCAGCGAAGGCGCCGAGCTCGGGCGCCCAGTGGTGCTGCTCCAAGAGAGCGTTGTCGCTCAGCGCCAGGGCCATGTCCCTGTAGGGCTCGGGGGGCTCCCCCAGGCGCTCGGCCAGCGCTGCCAGCACGCGGGCGCCCAGCGCCATCCAACAGCGCAGGTCCAGGTGCCGCTCCTGCTCCGACGGGTGCGAGGCGCGCGGGTAATCGTCCAGCCCCGACGCCAGCGTCTTGGGGTTCAGGAAGCGCTCGGCGTCGGTGTCGCGGCCGCGCCAGCGGAAGGTGAGGGGCTCGGGGCCGGCCTGCGTGCGGTTGAGCCACGAGAACCAGGCGCGCAGGCGCGGGGAGAGACGGCGCAGGTAGGGCAGGGGCGCGTCGGGCAGAAGCCGCTCCAGCGCCAGCAGCAGCGTCGGCGGGTTCGCCGTCTCGCTGTGCTGCAGCACGAACTCGGGGGGCACCCTGGCCCGCGCCTCGTCCCCCAGGATCTGCTCCCGCGGGATCCAGCCGTCGGCGTTCATGAGGTCGAGCCAGTGCGCCAGCACGTCCCGGGCCAGCGCGGGCGCCCAGCGGGCCAGCAGCAGCAGGTGGAAGCCCTCGTCCCACAGGAAGCCTCGCGGGAAGCAGGAGCGCGAGGGCACGGCCGTCAGCAGCGTGGCCTCGGGGCCGGGCAGCGGCTCCGAGCGGCGCTCCGAACGCAGCAGGGAGCGGCCGTGGAAGACGCCGAGCCCCCCCAGGAGCTCGCTGAGCGCGGCCTGGGCGAAGCGGCGCCGGGCGGGGGTCGCCCCGCGCGCCCCCAGCCCAAAGGTGTCCTCGAAGCGGCGCTCGAAGGCGGCCGCGTGCCGGGCCAGCGCCGCGCTCAGCGCCCGCCCCGCCAGCCGCCCCTGCCGCGTCCCCGCCGCGCTGCCCGACTCCAGCACCACCTCCAGCACCGCCGGCACCTCCAGCGTCACCTGGTGCAGCAGCAGCTGCCCCTGCGGGGGCTCCCCGGGCAGCCCCCCCGTGCCCGACACCCCCAGGTAGTGGCGCCGTGGCCGCCCTGGCGCTGAGAACACACAGGGCTCCCGCAGGCTGCGCTGCACCAGCTCCGTGAGGCGCTGCAGCCCCGGCACCGCCCCCGCCAGGAAGTTGTAGCTGAGGGAGACAGAGACATCAGGCAGGGGGGCACATGGGGTGACGGGGGAGGTGAGAGTCGGGTGGGGGGAGACACAAGGGAGAGGAGGAGTCAGGGAAAGGGGGGACACAGAGGACGTGGAGTCAGGGGAAAGGTGGAGGAGATGGATGCAGGACAAGAGATGGGGGGACACAGATGGGATGCAGAAGGGCATATGGCGGATCAGAGAAGGGGAGAACGCGGGGGAAACGGGGGAAGAGAAAAGGGGTGAACACAGGGAGAGAGAGGAAGACGTGGAATCGTGGAATGGGGGGGAAACAGAGGAGACAAAAAGTGGGCAGAGATGGAGAGGTTGGGGATCAAGCCCCAAGGACTCACCTGGCATATTTGGGCCCCTCCTCGCCCTCCCCCGTTGGGGGCAGGAAGGTGAGGGTGAAGTTCCCGAGCTCCTCCGACGTTCCCTCCACGGCCGCCAGGCGGGTCCTGTTGTGCAGCACCGGCCGCAGCTCCCCCTGCCCGTCCGTAGCCACGTAGAAGAACAGTGACAGGAGCGGGGCCGGGCCTTTCCCCTGGGGGCGGGAGCAGGAGGACGGTGACAGAGGGTCTCCGGCATCCCAAATCCTCTCCCGCCTTCCCTGCACTCACCTCCATCCTCGCCGTGACCCTCCAGCTCCAGTCTCCGCCGTGGTCTCCCCCGGGCTGCTTGACGAACTCCGTTCTGAGCAGCAGTCGCCCGTCGCGGATCTCCTGCACGCCGAAGTTCTCCCCGTCGTGCATCACCCACCCGTACCGGGCCGGCCCGTCGCCTTGCTCGCACGTGTGCCGCAGGCCGCCGCCGTGCTGCAGCCACATCAGCCCTGGGGGGCGCGGGGGGTCAGGGGCGGCTCCCGGGTGGGCAGCGGGGCCGGCGGAGCCCCGGAGTGGAGCCCCCGCCCGCGTCCCCCTCACCGGTCACGACAGAGCGCGGGCTCCGCGTCTTCATCCCGAAGTACACGTGCGGCCGGTACGTGCCCCAGAAGTAGGCGGGGGAGGCGAGGGGCCCGGTGGAGCCGGGGGGGACGGCGGGGGGCGCGGGGTGGGGGGTGACGAGGCGCGAGGCTTCGCTCCACCGGCTCCACTCGGTCGCCGCCGCCACGAGAACGAGCGCCAGCGCTGCCGCCGCCACCGCGGCCGCCAGCGCCGTCCGACCCCGGCCCGGGCCCCGCGGCTGCTGCTGCTGCTGCTGCTGGCGGTGTTTCGGGTCCCGCTCCCGGGGCCGCTCCCGCGGCCGCTCCCGGAGTCCATCCCCGCCACGCCGCCGCCGCTCCCCCGCCATGGCCGCGCCCGTGACGTCAGCCCGGCGCGACGGGTTGCTGGGAGAGCCGCGCGCGCGCCCCCTGGCGGGCGGGAGGACTCCGCGCCGTTCGGTCCTCCCAGGAACTCCTGCCCGACCCAAAACCGGCCCCGAGGGAACAAGGACCGCCCTCAGCGTGCCCCTAACGCCGCCTTCCGCCCAGTCCACGCTCATCACGTCCTTAGAAGCCATTTGTTACTCCCTTGCTCGGCCCCATAGCTGGGAAGGGGTCCCGGCAACACTGACTCCCCAATCCGCCACCCCAACAGTGTCCCCCGAGGGACCCCAGCCAGGAATCCCCCAGCCTTCCTCATGGATGCCCGACCTCCCTGGGGACCTCCCAAAGACCCCCATTATGAACCCCCAGTATCCCCCGGGACCACCAGGGGATCCCTGGTCTCCTTGAAGACCCCCATGGACCTCCAGCCTGCATTCCTGGCATCCCCTGGAACTCCCCAGGGTACTCCCAGCCTCTCCAGGGCCTCCAAGGGACCCCCAGCCGCCTCAGGGACCCCCAAAGGGCCCCCATGGAACACCAGCCATGCACCCCTATCGTTCCCCAGGACCGCCAAGGGCCACCCCCTCTGCACCCCCCGTCTCTCCAGGACCTCCCAGATCCCCTCAGGAGTCCCCGTTAGATCCCGCCCCACAAGTAAGTGGTCCCAGCCGCGATCCCAGATCTCGGGCCGGTGCTGTCAGCCTCCCATCCGCCGTACCCCCCTCGCAGAGGTGGCCGGGCCGGGCGGGGCGGTTTTATTGCGTGTCAGCCCTCGGGGCTGTTGCCCACGCAGGGCAGTCCCGGCACTCTCCAGCGGCGGGCGCGGTGCAGCCGCAGGGACAGCCACTGCTGGGGGCTGCCCGGGAAGGGCGGCTCGGCAGCGGCGCCGCGGGCACGGCCCGGCACATCGCCCTCCGCGCCCGGCCGGGCCGGCCCCGGCAGCGGCACTGCCACCTCCAGCGGGTCCAACACAGGCAGCGGGGCTGGGGGCGGATCCAGGGGGTGGGCGCCTTCGTCCGAGCCTGGGAAGGGATGGACGGGCTGGGATATTGGAACCTGCTCCTGCTGGGACTCCCTGTCCCCATTCCAGTCCCCATTCCCTGATGTTCCCATCCTCATCTCCGCCCCCATCCTTGTCCCAGTCCCCGTCCTCATCCTTTCTCCATCTCCATCCCATCTCTATTTCAGTTCCACCCGTCCCATCCCTATTTCATCCCCACCCCACCCCATTTCATCCCATCCCCATCTCCTCCCATTCCCATTCCCATCCCACTCCCACTCCCGTCTCCTCCCCATCCCCATTCCCATCCCACTCCCAGCCCATCCTCATCCCCCCACCGGTGCCCCGTGCCCGCTCTCACAGCAGCGCCGCAGCCCGGCCCAGCCGCGGGGGTGGCCGCCGCGCCCCCCCGGCTGCTGCAGGAGGCAGCGCACGGCCGTGTCCGTGTGGTGGAACACCCGCAGAGCCCGCAGAGCCTGCTGGGCCTCGGGGGCCAGCCCGGAGCGCTCCGAGCACAGCAGCTCCCGCACCGCCTCGAAGTCCCGCCGCAGCTGCAGGGCCCCCTGCAGGCTGGGACAGGGGGGCAGCGTGGGCATGGGACCCCCGGGACCCCCCCGGATCCCTTAGCACCGCCACCACATCCTGGGACACCCACTGGAATCCTGGAACCGCCACCAGATCCCCAGAACTGCCCACCTGGACCCCTGAAAGCCCCACCGGGACTCCTAGAACTGCTGCCAGGACACCCAACCTGCCACCGGGACGCCTGTCCTGTCATGGGACCCCCAGTAGCGCCACTGGAACCCCTGTTACTGCACTGGGATCCCTGAAACTTCACCAGCCCCCCTGGCCCCACCTCTGGGACCCCCAGCACTATCACTGGGACCCCTGCTCTGCCCCCAGGATCTCAAAGGGGCTCCTGGCACTGCCCCTTGGCTGTGGCACTGGTGTGGACCCCCGTTCCAGTACCTGAACTTGATCCTGTGAGTGAGGATGTGGTCCATCCAGGCCTCCAGGAAGGCCGTGGTGACCCGTGCCAGGGTGGGTGCTTGGGCGTCGCGGGGCAGGGCCTGTGCCCCCTGCAGCACCTGCCCCAGCACCGCCTGCACCGCGGCCGCTGCGTACGCGCTGGGGGTGCTGGGCAGCTCTGGGGGAGCACCGACACCCTGCTCAGTGCCGGGACCCCCCTCAGCCCCCTGAGCACCCCAGCACGCCCCCAGCCCCCCACACCCACCGGCACGTGGCCCGAGCCGCCAGTGCCGGCCCAGCGGCATCGTCTGGTCGAAGATCTCGGCCGAGAGCCGCTTGCAGCTGCTGGAGAACATCCCGAGCACGTCGCTGGAGAAGAGCTGGGACGTGGCAGGGGACACGGCGTGACACAGGCACCCAGGGCACCCCTCTGCTCGGGACCCCCACCCAGGTCCCGCTGTACCTGGATGTCGTTGGCCGCTCCGTGGATCTGCCGGCACAGCTGGAGCTCCCACGGGGACCCGTGGGGTGGCTCTGGGGGGGTGTCCCCATCAGTGTCCCCCAGCTCTGGGAAGGTCCCACTCACCTGCAGCACCAGCTGCTCCGTCTCTGCCTTCAGCACCTGGAGGGGAGCAGGAGGGGTGAATCCAGCCCCCCATACCTACAGGTCTCCCTGGGTGAGCAGCAGGAGCTGGGGCAGTGACCAGGCCCCCCTGTGCCCCCCAGTCCCCCCCGTGACCCTGTACCTGTAGGTCTCCCTGGGTGAGCAGCAGGAACTGGGGCAGTGCCCAGGCTGCCAGGTACCGCCCGGCCCTGCCCGTCAGCCACGCGTGAGCAGCCGCCACCGCCGCCAGACACCGGCCCAGCACCTGTAGCCGCAGGCAGGGAACCCCAGGGGACGCTGGAGGAGGGTGTCAGCACAGAGGGGACCCCCCGTGCCCCCCCCGCCCCCCAGATCCCGCTCACCGTGTGGGTGTGTGGGCAGCGGGCGCAGGCAGCGCAGGGCCAGCACCAGGGCTGGGAAGAGGCGCCGGAGCTGCTGTGCCGTGCGGCTGCACCCCGGCCCCGGAGGCCCCCCCGGGACCTCCAAGCACTTGTCCAACAGCCCTGAGCCCAGGGCACAGGTGAAATCTGGAGGGAAAACAGTTAGAAGCCCCCAGCACCACACACATCCCACACTGTAACCCATGCCTGCACCCTGGACTGCAAACCCTGTAACCCACACCCTCACTGCCTACCCCCCAGATCACCCTCTACTCCCTCATCCCATGCTCACCCTCCACCCCACATTTTACCCCACACCTGCACCCTAGACCTCCCTAACCCTGCACCCTGTGTCCCCCACCCCATACTCCCCCCAGCCCACCAGACCTGTGTCCCAGCTGCAGAGGATGCTCCGGCAGATCAGGCGCAGGCAGAGCACCCCCAGCTCCTCCTGGCACTCGGGGGGCACACGGGCTGTGGGGGAACCCGGGGGTCAGGGCAGGGCAGGGCCCCCCCGCGGCACCCCCTGCCCCCCGTGTCCCCACGTACCCACGACGAGCGCGCGGCTCAGCTCCTGCGCCGCGGTGACGGTGGCGCTGAGGGTGGCGGGGGGGGTGCCCAGGCTGTGCCCCAGCGCAGCGCCCGCGGCCCCCCAGAGCAGCGGGCGGTACCGGGCACCCAGCGTGGCAGCCGCGGGGCCCCGGGCGGTGTCCAGCCACCGCACGGACTTCCAGCCGCCCGTGCTGCCCGGGCGCGGCCCCACGGGCTCAGGGCTCTCAGACAGCACCGGCTGCCACAGGCTGTCGGCCGAGGCCACCAGTGCCCCCAAAACGTGTCCCGTCAGCTCCTCGTCCTCCAGGCACAGCGCTCGCAGCTCGGCCACCAGCCCTGGCAGCGGCTCCGCTCCGGAACCTTCTGCGTCCGTCGCCGCATCCGTCCCCGCAGCATCGTGCCCCGGCGGCCACGGCACCGCCACGTCCTCCCAGCACACGTGTCCGTCCCTGATGTCCCCACCCCGGGGCCGCAGGAGGGGCTGGAGCCGCTCGGCCACGGCGCGGCCACGCTCGGCCGCCAGCACCCGCAGCACTCCGTCCACCGTGAAGGGAGGGGGGACACCCCCGGGACCCGCCTCGGGGCCCAGCTCCTCTGCCAGCCCCTGCACCACGCGGTTGTAGATCTCCAGCCCCTGGAAGAGCCCAGCCAGGCTCTCAGGGGCCGGGCAGGGGGTCCCGGGGCAGCCAAGCCCCCGCAGGCACCCCTCGGCGTGGCGCCGGGCCAGGCGCGCGGCCATGAGCGCCGGCAGCAGCAGCGCCCGCCGCATGTGCGCCACGGCCTCGCGCCGGCGCCGCGGCAGGGCCCGCAGCCACGCGTCGCCCCGCAGCCTCCGCCTTAGCGCGGCCCAGTGCCCCGCGTGCGCCCGCAGCTCCAGGCACAGCTCCCGCAGCGCCGGCCCCGCGTGGCCCCCGCGTCCCGCCGGCACCGGCAGTGCCAGCAGCCGCCGCAGGAAGTCGGAGGAGGCCTTGAGACGCCGGGCGAAGTCGCGGGCCAGGCGGAGCAGGTGGCGGTGCCGCAGCAGCGCGTGCAGGGCCGCCCCCCGCGCGGCCACGCGCTGCCGCACCGCGTCCTCCGAGAAGTCGCCGGCGCCGCCGGGACGGGGCCGCACGTGTCCCTGGAAGGTCTCGGTGCGAGGGTCCTCCCAGACGCGGAGGCAGCGGCGCAGCCCCGCGAAGCTCTGCTCCAGCGGGGTCACGATGGGCGCGGCCTCGTCCTCGGTCTCGTCCTCCTCGTCGCTGTCGCCGTCACCGCGCCGGCGGGGCCGCGGGGCCAGCAGGCGCCGCAGCCCCGGGGAGACGCAGCTGCGCAGCATGGCCTCTGCCCGCTGCAGGGAGCGCGCCAGGGGCCCCCGCAGCCCGCCTGGGGGCCGAGCGTGGGGCAGCGACCTCAGTGTGGGGTACAGACCCTCATGTGGGGTAGCCCCTGCCCACATCCCCCTCATCTCTGCCACCCCAGCCCTGAGCCCCCCAACCCCCCTTGCACCCAGGGAGTCCCAGAACCCCGTTAGGGTTCCCACAGTTCCCCCCAGATCCCATACCCCACTAGGGTCCCCCACGCTATCCCCAGGAACTCCATAACTCACTGGGGTTCCTGCAGCCAACCCATACCCCATCAGGGTCCCCACAGCCCCCAAGAACCCTACACTCCCTCAGGGTCTCTGCAACACCCCAGGACCCCACAACCCCTTGAGGTCCCCACAGCCTCCTGGGTGTCTCACCAGGCTCGAGGGGCTCCCCGCGGGCCACCCCATCACCCGGGGCCGGCCGGGCCGTCAGCAGGAGCAGGATGAGGCCACCCAGGCCGGCGTCGCCCACCTGAGGGGTGCGGGGGGCTCAGGACCCCTAGGTTGGGCGAGGGGCGGGGCCACCGCCGATGGGGCGGGGCCATCCCCTTAGCCCCGCCCCTCCGCGCTGGCAGCTGCGGAGTCCTCCTCAGTGACCGCGCCCCTTCCCGCAGTAGCCACGCCCCACGCTTGATCGGTCACGCCCTCAGTCCCCGTGACCACGCCCCCTCCCGGGCCGTTGCCATGGAGACGCCGCGTTGCCGGGTCCGGTGCCCCCCTGCCCGCCCTGGTATCGCCCCGGTCCCGCCGCTCCCCGGGAGGGGTGTCCGGCCCCCTCTCCTCGCGTGGCCTCACCTGCAGGCAGAGCTCCCCGCCGCGTCGCTCAGCGCCGCTGGCTTCCATGCCGGGCCATCCCGGGGGCGGCGGCAGCAAAGAGGCTTAGGCCGTGCCCGGGCTAATCCAGGGGGCCGGACCTGGCTGGCCGCCGGGAGAGAGTCGGCGCGGGGGGCAGGACGAGCAGCGAGGAGAGGCCGGGCCCGCGGCCTCGGGGCAGGCGCGGGAGGAGGGAGAGGACGCGGAGCGCCGGTGCCACTCGGTGCGGGCCCTGCGGGCCGCCGTCCTGCCCGCATCCAACATGGCAGCCGGGCGGCCTCAGCTGGCTCCCTGCCCCACTTCCCGTCGGCGCTGTGACGCACTTCCGGCGCGCGGCGGCTGGCGGCGATGCGGGGCGGGATGCGAGACCGGGACGGGCCGGGCCCGGTGGGCTCCGCATGCGGGGCCGGCCCCGCCGCCTGCCCCTGGGGCTGCACGCCCGGCCCCGGCGGCTGGAACGGCGGTACGGGCCGGGGGGGCGCGGAGGGGGAGCCCGGGCCGGGAGCGGCACCCGTGCCGGCCGGGTTTCGGTTCCGCCTGCCCCGGCTCACGGCCGCCTGCGCTCCCTGCAGCTCCTTTCTGCCCTTGGCACCGCCTGTCCGGCCTCGGCGAGCTCCCAGTGCTGCCGCGGGGCCCCTCCCAGACGGTGATCCAGTGCGAGGAGGGGGAGGTGTGTCTGCTCTGGGACGACGGTGAGTCGGGCAAGGCGTACCGGGGATCCCGGTGCCCGGGGGCTGCCCTTCATGCCCTCCGCTCTCCCGCCAGGCCCCAGGCTGGAGGATTTTTACCACCTGGAGGATGACGACGAGGACGAGTCCGACATAGATTACGAGGAGCGGAATGAGTTTTGGGACGTTCCCCTCGTGGAGCGGCCCCGGCCTTACAGCTACTGCGGCTTCCGAAAGTCCTTCTTGTGTGCGGAGCCGCCGCCGCCGCCGCAGCCCCCCCGCAGCGCCCTGGAGGCGCGGCTGGACCGGCTGCCCACGCCCCGCCGGGCCCGGCTCACGGCTGAGGTGGGCAATGCCCGCCCCCTCCTCCCGCTCTCCGCGGGCTGGGATGTCCTGGGCTGGCATCGCGGGAGGGGCCGTCACTGTGTCCTTCTCCCAGGAGGCAGAGAGGAACGCTCAGGAGCTGGTGGCGGAGGAGGAGCGGGTGAAGAGGAAAGCAGAGAAGAAAAAGCTGAAGAAGAAGGTGGGTGAGCCCTGGAGGAGTCACTGTCAGCCCTTGGGGTGCAGGCAGCTGCTGTTCCTGAATCCTGGGGGTGTGGGGTCGGGGGAGGTGGGGGAGGACTGCGTTGCTATAATGGTTCCATATTTTTCCTTTCCAGAAGCAAAAAGACCGGAAAAAACGAGAGAAACTGTGTCAAGAGCAGAAGAACAAGGAGAACACTGACCCAGTGTGTGACCCCTTCAGCCCCCTCGGGCTGTCCTGCCGGTCCCCAGAGCTGGGGGCTGGGCAGCACCCCCTGCCCCAGCCACCCTTTCCCCTCCCTGTCCTTGCAGAGTCCCCTGGCCCCGAGCAGCCCTGCGGGCACTGGGCCCCCCCAGGATGGAGCTGAGGAGGAGGGGGGCTGCACAGGCCCCTCCCCACACCCCGGGAGCTCCACAGCCCCATCAGAGGACACAGAGGGAGCAGAGGTGAGGGAGGGTCTCCCCTGGGGGCTGTGTGGGCACAGGGGGTGGTGTCTGGGTTCTGCCTGCCCACCCCCTACCCCCCCAGGAGGAGCTGGACCTGAGCTGCACCTTCGTCTGCAAAGCGCGGGAGAAGGCCGGGGTCCGGCTGCGCCCCCCTGGCAGGGAGAGACCCCCCGGCACGGGGGACACGGAGCTGGGCAGGAGGGCACCAGATAAGGGCAGTGGGGAGAGCCCTGCCCCTCCCCAGCCCCCCAGCCCCAGTACAGTGGAACAGAGCCTGATGCTGGCAGGTTAGTATAGGGATTCCTGAGATGTGGGGGGGGGACATGGGGGGCTCTCCTGCTGTGCCAGATGGCCTCTCCTTGCTGCACTGTGGAGTTTGTGCTGGGGGAGCTCACCCAGCTGCTCCCCAGCTCATGGTGGGGCTGTACCAGGGAGGCTCTCCCTGCCCAGGGTGGTCTGTGCTGGAGGGCTCCCTGCCCAGGGTGGTCTGGTCTGGGGGGTCTCTCTGTGCAGCTCCCCATGTTCAGGGCAGCCCTGCCCCGGGGCTGCTGTGCAGAGCTCTGGGCTGGATCAGGGACTGTCAGCTCCGTGCCCTCATGCCCCCAGGCCATGGCATCGCTGCAGCCCAGGCAGGCCTGCACGACGAGGCCGTTCTGGCCTTCAGCGCCGCCCTGGAGCTGAACCCCCAGGAGCACCGGTGAGTAGGGGGGTCCTGGGGGTCCCAAGGTGGGGGGACCAGGCAGCAGCGACCCCTTTGTTTCCACAGGCTCCTGGGGAACCGCTCGTACTGCCTGGAGAAGCTGGGCCGCTACGAGGAGGCGCTGAGAGACGCAGAGGCGGCGCTGGGGCTGCAGCCGGGCTGGCCCAAGGGCTCCTTCCGCAAGGGCAAGGCCCTGCGGGGGCTGCAGGTACCCTGGAGGGGCTGCAGGAGGGGCTGAGGGCTGGAGGGTGTCATGACTGGGCAAGGGGCTGCAGCACACCAGGAGTTGGTGGGGAGCTTTTGGGAGGCTGTGGTGTACCATGGGCTGCTGTTGGGGCCAAGTTGAGGGTTCAGTTGGGGGCTGTGGGGTGCCAGTGGGGCTGGGTCAGGGCTGCAGGGACCTGGGGAGCTCTGGGGTGGTGTGGCTGCATGGCATAGGCTGAGGGGTACCAGGGTTGGGGGAGAGGACGAAGGTACCAGGTGCGATTTAGGGTCTGTGGGGTGCCAGGGCTCAGAGGACTGGGAAGGGGCTGGAGGGAGGGCTGGGGGTTTCCTGGGCTACCATTTGGGCTGATAGGTACCCGTGGGGCCAGGCGGGGAGCTCTGGGGTGCCCTGGGGTGCCATTTGGGCTGTGGGGTGCCCGTGGGGCTGGGTAGGGGGCTCTGGGATGCAGTTTGGGCAGGGAGTGCCTGTGGGGCTGGGTAGGGGGCTCTGGGATGCCGTTTGGGCAGGGAGTGCCCGTGGGGCTGGGCGGGGGGCTGTAGGTGCCCCCTGCCCCCAGCGCTACGCCGAGGCCGCGCACACCTTCGAGCAGCTGCTGCTGCGGGACGGGGCCAACACCGAGGCCACTGCACAGCTGGAGGCCTGCCGGGCCCTGCTGCGGGTGAGACCCCCTTCCACTGCTCCCAATCCCTTGCCCCCCACCCTGCTGTGTCCCCCACACCTCACCCCTGTCCCCCCACAGCAGCGCAGCCGCCCCGGGGCGGTCCCTGTGTCCCCCTTCCTGCCCGAGACCAAGGAGCCGCCGCTTCTCCCTGGTAAGGGAGCAGGGCTGGGGGGGCCCTGGGGATGTCCCCATGTCCCCGGTGGGTGCTGACTCCCCCCGGACCCTTGGCAGGGGGGTGGGCGAGCGGGAGCTGCCAGCACGCGGGTGACACGAGTGTGGCGGGGGGGAGCACCGGGACCCCCACGAGAGGCCCAGGACAGGGACCTGCCACGGCCACCAGCCACCCGACACTGCCAGCGAGCCATCCTGCCAGGTACAGGGCTCGAGGGGGCTGGGGGATCCCAGAGCTCCAGTGAGGTGGCACCGGCTCTGGTGACACTGGGGTGGTTCTCGGCAGGGACTGCTTTCCACTCTGGGTGGGCAATGTCACCTCCCGCATCAGCGAGAAGGTGCTGCGCCACGCCTTTGGCCGGTGAGTGACTCTCAGGACCCAGGTACGGCTCCCCTGGGATCCCCAGCCTTCTAGCACAGCCCTGGTGCCCCCCAACCATCTCTGTCCCCATTCCCTGGTGGTTCTGACCTGCTTGGTGGGTAGTCTGTGATCTACTTCCCCATGTTTGGGGGATATCTAAGCTCACTGCAGCATTGGGAGTCTCTACTCCACAGCTTTGGGGTTTTTTTAACTCTTTTCCCTCAGATTTGGGATTTTCTGATCCCCCTGCGTGCAGGTTTAAGGGTGTCTTTATATTCTCCCTCCGTCTTCGGGGGTCTTTCGGTATTCCGTGCCACACACATTTGGGGGTCTCTAACACTCCCTGCCATATTTGAAGGTTTCTGAGGGTCTGTAACCTGTGCCCCCCCACGTTTGGGGGTCTGTGCCCCCCAGGTTCGGGGAGATCCACTCGGTGCGGATGCTGCCGGGCCGGCGCTGTGCCTTCATCAACTTCTGCGGGAAGGCGGCGGCGGAGGCGGCCTTCGGGGCCATGCAGGTGAGCTGGGGGGCACACGGGGCCCCCAGCCCTGGGGCTGCCCTGGGACACCCCTGCCCGCAGGGCCTGTCCCGATGCGAGCTCCCCGCTGTCCCCAGGGTGCCACCGTGGAGGGCAGCGAGCTGGTGCTGCAGCTCAAGCACCCGTCCCACGCCACGCCGGCCCCCCTGCCCCGCTCCAGGGGGGGCGTCCCTGCCGGGGGGCTGCTCAGATGACCCTGCTCTGTCGGGGGGGGCTGCCGGGGCCCCCCTGCACCTGCCTGTACCTGCCTGTGCCTTGTCCCTCTACTGGGGGGTGGGAGTGTCCCCCGCTCTTGCCTTGGGGGGGGTGGGCCCCCCCTGCATCCCCTCGTGCCTGGGGCGTTTGGGCCCGGGCTGATCCTCACGGCCCCTCAGGGATTTGTTACCTGTTTGGGTTTTATAATAAAACTGAGATCGTTGTCCCTCTTTCTGGCTTTTTTTTGTCTTGGACTGGTGGTGCCCCCCGCCCTGCACGGTCCGCCCCTCCTTCCACCCCTCTGCCCTCTCTGCCCCCCACCCCAGTGCTGGACCCCACCGCTCCAGCCCCCCGTGTCCTCTCCCCGTGTTCCCCCTTGTCCTCCTGTGTCCCTCCAGCCCCGGGGGGCCGGGGTGGGGTCCCTGCCTCCCCGGAATGTCACTTGCTTCGGGGCGGGGGAGTGACAGGCGGGACATCAAATACAATTTGATTAATATGCAAATTGAGGGGGGGAGGGTCGGCCTCAGCCGGTAATTAATCACCGGTTAAAACAAATTAATGCCTGCGGCGGGAAGTGCTCGCCTGGAAAATGGGGGGGTACAGAGTGGTCCCCGGGGAGGATCAGGGCTCCATAATAAGGTGTTGCCTTTATTGCAAATATTTACACCAGGGCCGATAGAAAATAAAATTAAAAAAAAAAAAAAAAAAAAAGAGATAATGGAAAGACGAACAAAAAAAATACCCAAAAACGGGTGCACCGAGGGGGCGGGGCCGGGCCGGGCTCGGCTCCGTTCGGAACTGAACGGAGCGGTGTCGGCCCGGACCGTGCCGAGTAGAACCGAGCGGGGCGAGCCGGTCTGAGCAGGCTCGGCTCAGTCCGCCACGTCGATCTCCTCCTCCGAGAGCTCGGCGGGCGCCGCGGTGCCGGTGCCGGGAGCCTCCGGGGGCTCGGGCAGCCCCGCCAGCTGCTGGAGGGCGGCGGGGGGCAGCGCCTGCAGCGAGGCCACGTCCGCCCGCAGCTCCTCCAGGTCCCGCTTGAGCTTGGCGCGGCGGTTCTGGAACCAGGTGATGACCTGGGCGGCGGAGAGCGCCAGCCGCGCCGCCAGCGCGTCCCGGTCCACCGGGGAGAGGTAGCGCTGCCGCCGGAACCGCTGCTCCAGCTCCCGCAGCTGCTGCGCCGTGAACGCGGTCCGGGACTTGCGACGCTTCCTGCAGGGAGGGCGCGGGCCCGGGGCGCCCGGCGGGGACGGACCTGCGGGGACAGCGGGGTCAGGGCACCGGCACCGGGCACGGGGAACGGCCCCGCAACCCGTGCCGGCCCTCGGGAATAGCCCCGGGGCGTCCGGTGGGGAAGGGCCTACGAGGCCCGGGACCCGCACCGCACCGGCACCGCCGAGCCGCGCAGAGCACGGCGGGGCCCGACATGCCGGGATAGCGGCGTCAGGGCAAAGGCAGCGGGACCCACACCGAGCGACGGGTAATGGTACGGCCACCTGCACCTGGTCGGCCCCGAGCACTGCGGGTCCCGACCTCTGGGCACAGCAGTGTCAGGGTAGCGGCACCGGTAACGGCACCCGCACCGGTCACGCCGGGCCGCGACCAGCACGGCGGGCGGAATCCCGGTCGAACGGAGACGAACCGGCTCGCGTCGAGCCGGAAGCAGAAGAGCCGTGCCGTGCCCTGCCGTGCCGTGCCGTGCCGTGCCTTACGGAGCCGAGGCCAGCAGAGCCGAGCAAACCAAACCGCGCTCGGTGCCGGGAGCCGGGAGTCGCAGTTCCACTGTGACCTCGGCCGCGTCGAAGTCGCCGCCGCTGCGCCTGTGGCTGAGACACCCGTGTCCTGCCAGCGGCTGGTTCGGGAACAAGGACCGAAGCGGGGAACAGAGCTGAGAGCCGGGAACAGAGCAGGGAAATGGGAGCGGAGTGAGGAGCCGGGAGCCCCCGGCGGAAATCGAGATCCTCCTCTCCACGATTCTAGGAGACCCGAGGCCGTGCTGGTCCCTGCATCCGATCGCTGCTCTCGGCGCCGATGCGGCCGCTGGTGCCGGTATTGATGCAGAGAGCACCCGGTGAGGCGCGGATCGTGGCCCTGTCTACGGCTCTCAAAGTCGCCGGCGGGGTCCCGGTGGCGTCCCGAGTCCCTCTCCCGCTCCCGCTCCCTGTCCCGTTCCACCCCTCCTCTGCCGGCGGGACCAACCCGCCTCTCGGTAACGCGGCTTCCGGGATCACCGTGCATCCCCCGGTAACGGCGGTGACCTCCGCGGCCGCCCGCAACGGGAGCTCCGCTCCTGGGGACCCCCGACCGCTCGGTACCGGAGTGCCGGGCCGTCCCAGCAGTCTTGCTTGAGCTGGAACTGTTACCGGTCCGTTCCGGTAACGGGCTTTACCGCGATCACGAAACCCCCATCGCTCCCGTGTCTGTCCATCCGTCAGTCCAATAACAGGACTTTCCCTCCACTCTCGGAGTCCAGATCGACCTCGTTTATGTCCGTCCGTCCTGGCAACGGGGATTTATCCCCGCTCCAGGAGCCCTCCAGATCGCTCCCATGTCCGTCCTTTCTTTATCGCTGAGAAGAGGGATTTTCGTTCATCACGGAAGTCCCGGGCGGTTCCGACCGTGTCCGTGGGTCCGTCCCGGTAACGAGGTTTTACCTGAGTTACCAGTACCTCCCTCTGTCCGCCGGTCCCGGCTCGTTCCGCCCTTACCCGCGGCCAGTTCGCCATCGGGTTTATTCCGAGATTCCGTCTGTCCGACCGCTACCTGGGCTTCACTCCCGCTCCGGGAGGCCCGATTGCATTCGAGTCTGTCTGTCTGTCCAGTCGGCAACGGGGTTTTTTCGTTTGTTTGTTTTTTTTTTTTTTTTTTTTTTTTTTTTTTTTTTTTTTTTTTTTTCCCATTCCCGTGTCCATCCGTCTGCCCGGCCGGTAACGGGGATCGCTCCTGTTTCGATCCATCTGTTCACCCGGTAACGGGATTTTTTCGCTATTTTTCTTCGATCCCGGCCGTGTTCGTGTCAGTCAGGTAATGGGCGTTTTTACCTTAATTCCGAGAGCCCCGATCGACCACGTTTCTGTCCCTCTGTCCATGCCGGTATACGGGGATTTTTTTTCGCCCCCTTTCATATCCGTCTGTCTGCGGTAACGGGATTTTTTTAAAATTTATTTCGTTCCCGGCCATGTCCGTCCGTTTGATAACGGGGAGTTTTACGTTAATTTCGGCGCCCCGAGCCGTGTCCGTTCTGTCTATCTCTCCACACAGTAATGGGTTGGCTTATTCGTTAATCATGGACCCCACTCTGTCTGTCCGACCTGTACGACGATTCGTAAATTACCGGAGCGACACTCCGTAATTAGATAATTTCTTTCCTTTATTTGCCGGAGCCCAGCTCCGCCCGCATCCGTCTGTCCGGCCGGTAACGGGATTTCGGTTACTCACGGGAGCGCTGCTCGGTCGATCCGTGTCCGTCTGTCCGAAGATTTTTCGTTACCGGCGGGAGCCGCGTTGTGCCCATAGTTTGTCCGTTAATTACTGGAATGCTGCTCTGCTGTGACTGTCCGTCTGTCCGTCCCGGTAACGGTTTTTTCCCTGTTAATTACTGAGACCCTCTCTGTCCGTTTCAGTGAGGGGTTGTGGTTTTTTCCGTTAATTACTGGAGCCCCTCTCGATCTCTCCGCGTAGGTCTGTCCGTCCCGGTAACGGTTCTATTCATTCCGGGCGGCACCGCGCTCTGTTTGTCTGTGTGTCTGTCCGTGTGAGGGATTTTCCTTTAATCCCGGAGCCCCGATCGGTCCGTCCGTGATCGTCCCGGTAAGGGCTTGGTTTTTCTGATCAGTCCCGGAGTCCCGATCGGTCCTCCCATGTCCGTCTGTCCATCTCAGTAGCGGTTTTTGTTCGTTCCCGGCGGCGCCGCGCTCCGTCTGTCGGTGTCCGTCTGTCCGTCCACCCGGTGACGCCGAGCCCGGGAGCGGCGGAGCTGGTTCGTCCCCGTCCATAAGCGGCGGTCGGACCCCGCCGGTACCGGGTCGCTGCGGGAGGCCGAAACGCGGCCAGAGCCGCCGTCCCCGCCGGGGCTCGGGGCCCGTACCGGGTTTCCGTTGCCTCCTGGCCCGATCCGCAGCTCGGCCCCCGCGCTCGGTCACGGTCACGGTCACGGCCCGGCGGGGTTCATCCACCGCCCGGTCCCGTGGCTCCCGGTAAAGCTGCCGGTGCTCCCGAAGCTCCGGTGCCTCGGTGCTGGAGGCGGCTCACCGGGGCCGGGGCGCTCTCTGGCTCCCAGTCCGGTCCCGGGGCTCTTCCCTCCCTTCGGGCGGAGGCTGCCGCGTGTCCCCGCAGCGCCGGGCGAGCACCGGCGGCTTCCCTGGCCTCCCGGCTCCGCTCGCCCCTCCAGGACACGGAGGAAACTTCCCGGGACCGGGGACGAGGGACATCCCCAGCCTCGCCGCGGCCTCCCCCTCCGCCTGCCGGCCCCGCTACCTGCCTGGTGCCTGCTGCCCAGTTCCCAGTGCCCGCTGCCCAGTTCCCGGTGCCCGCCCCGGTCTCGGAGGAGTCCCCCCGCCCTGGTAGCCCCCCGGTCCCGGTACCTCCGGCTGCTTGCAGCATTCCCAGCTCCAGCCCCTGGAAGGTTTTACTGGCGAGTTCCTCCAGCGCCCAGAGCGGCGAGGCCGGGGCGCAGCCGCCGCCGCCGCCGCGGGGCCCCGCCGGGGTGGGGGGGGCGGCGGGACCGGTACCAGTCCCGGGGGGGCTCCCGCCGCGGGGGCGCCCCAGGATGTCCTCGATGCCGAAAGGGGTCAGCGGTTTGGTGGTGTTGGCGGGGGGCGGGAGCCGGTCCAGGGGGCTTCGCCGATGGCCGCCGACCGCGGCGGGCAGCGGGGGGGAACTGGCCGCCTCCCCCGCCGAGGTCATGCCGGGACCGAGACCCGCGCCGGGACGGGGACCCGCCGCCCCCCACCCCCCCCCAGCGCCGCGATCCCCGTTCCACCGCCTTAAAGGCCCGGGATACCGGGAGGAGGAGGAGGAGGAGCCACCGACGCCCCCCCCGTCGAGGGGGGGGGACAGACCCCTCTCCGCCACTA